CGGAATCTGTAACTGTCGTCACTTTTGAGCTCCCCAGGCCTGAAAATGGAGGAAGTCTCAGGCGGGAGCCTCGTCTGTGAGTGAATTGGGAGGAAGTCTCAGGCGGGAGCTCCCTCCCTATGGGGCCCGCAGATCATGTTGGTAATCCGAGCGGGTCATCGGAATCCTGTAACTGTCGTCACTTTTGGGCTCCTCAAGCCTGAATTTGGAGGAAGTCTCAGGCGGGAGCCTCGTCTGTGAGTGAATTCTGAGGAAGGCTCAGGCGGGAGCCCCCTCCCTATGGGGCCCGCAGATCATGTTGGTAATCCGAGCGGGTCATCGGAACCTTGTAACTGTCGTCACTTTTGGGCTCGTCAAGCCTGAATTTGGAGGAAGTCTCAGGCGGGAGCCTCGTCTCTGAGTGAATTGTGAGGAAGTCTCAGGCGGGAGCTCCCTCCCTATGGGGCCCGCAGATCATGTTGGTAATCCGAGCGGGTCATCGGAACCCTGTAACTGTCGTCACTTTTGGGCTCCTCAAGCCTGAATATGGAGGAAGTCTCATGCGGTTTTGTCCAGGGCGGAGGCGAAGCAGCTCGCGGCAGAGCTGGGCTTCGTGCTGCCTTCCGCCTGAGCGCGGCTGCGCCTCGCTCGAAGCCCGCGGGGTTGTCCCAACGGCTTGGTCTTGCGCGCCAACGGCTCGCGGGGTTGTCCCGACAGCCTGGCCCGCGGGGTTGTCCCAACGGCTGCGCGACGTGACCAGTAGAGAACGCGCCTGTGCTGGCCGTGGCGGCGACGGCGCCGAGGAACATCGACATGCGCGCTCATGCAACAGGAAGGGGAGGAGGTGGCGGGGCGCGGAACAAACAGGGGGGCGAGGATGGGGACAACGTAAGGAGTGGAAGGGGGGCCCGCGCCAAGGCGACAGGAAATATACGCAGAAGAGACAGCCAGGACGCCTCACCAACCACGAGGACGACGGTGATGTTTTTTTTCCAGATTCGCCCAAAGGATTCTTATGTGGGGTTCTTCCGTCGGAGTAATTTACATTTTTCGTTCAGAATCCCCTTGTAGGGGACACGCCCGACTCAACCCTCGGGCTGGTCTTTCGTCCTGGGCAGCTTTGGGACCGTCCCGGGGCCCTCGCGAGGGCTCAAATTGGCCCAGAAGCGGCCGCTCCTATCTTCATCGGAGCCTCGGGTATCTAGGGGCGCACCTCCCCAAGCCCATTTGGCGCCGCCCCCCCCCCCCTTCCCATTCAGCAATTTCCCATCCACGCGTGAGGCGGGGTGGGGTGGGTGGCGCCCAGGTCTGCCCTCAGGGCTCCCCCCCGCGCCGTGGCTCCAGAGGGGGAGGAGAGGTGCCCGTACAGGCGGCCCTGATTGGTAGGTCGACCTTGCCAGAGCAATGGTACCCTTTGTGTCCTGTGTCTCGCGGCCCATGCCCCCTACATTATCATGGCAATGTGGCCCTCGGAAGGATCTTGTATCCTCTCGCGTGTCCTGTCCAATCAAGTCCGACTGTACACCGCTGCCTTTCCCTCGTTTCTCCAGGGTCTTGGGCCTCCTGGGAGTCTGGGCCTGCTAGATGGGGTCCGAGCAGATGGTGTCGGAGAATCGCTCCATGTCGCCGATGCGTCGTCTATGCGGCTCGATGTGGAGCCCGAACTTCTCCACTCTGATGGCGCCCATGCAACGCCGATGCATCTCAGATGCGTCGGCGATGCAGTGGCGATGCGGCGCGATCTCCTGACCCCGTCTACTCGGACCCCATCTAGTACGCCTCGATGGGAGGCTCTCGTCTCAAGCAGTGTCGAAGCGCCTTGACCTGCAGTAAGTCCACCAAGTAATGTTCCAAGAGCCTTGTGTGGTTTGCGCGAGATGTTCTTAGAGCATCTCTGGCTGAGGCAGGCTTATTTCAATACAGTCTGCCGCCTTTCTGTTCTAAGAAGATTGTTATTGTGATGCTACCTTCCCTGTGCTCTAACAGCAACGACATCTGCAACCAGAGGCTATCCCTGAGTGTCTTGGGCTTCCTAACTTAACTCAGGTCCGCTCCGAAGAGGGCTAGGGGTCCTTTAATTGTCAACGCATTCTTCTTCGGCGCTTCGACATTGGGCGGAAGGGGGGCGGGAAAGGGGGGGGGGGTGGCTCCAGACCTCTGCTTAGTGCGACTGTTTGCACCAGGGCGTCCATTATGGGGGAGACTCCACCAGCGTAAAGCAGGCGCCAAAAACAGCCAATGAATAAGAAATCGATGAAGAGAGCACGATGACACCATGCAAAAGGAACCGAGGCATAAGACAACGGTGAATAAGACGAGCAGCCTCCACGATCGACAGAACAGTGAACAAGAAAACGATCACAGTTCCAAGGACCCTAGTCTTGAAACGATTGCTTCAGTTTGAACCGTCCTCTTGCCATGGGCCCCGAGCCACGGAGGACGGTATACCGCCGCATGTCTCCAGGAGTTGCTGCCCCTTGTCGGGGTAATTCGAACTCGAGGGCGAGCGCCGGCAACGGGAAGTAAGCATGTGGTCGGGGTTCCGACCACATGCTTCCTTCATTCCAAAAAAAACATGACCATACATGTTTGACGCTCCGCGCGGATTTCTTGGATCCGTGCCTGGGCCCCCCCCCCCGCGCCTTCGGCGCTGCCCCTGGCGCGCTCCGCGCGCCAGGGAGGGGGGTCCAGCGCGGATCCAAGAAATCCGCGCGGAGCGCCGACAGTTTATGTTCAGATGTTTGTTTTTTCTTCATGTTACCTGTAACAAGAAGCTCGAACCTCCAGGTCACCTCAGGGGGCGCGAAGACGATTGCGCTTCGCGCATCACGGCATGGGCTGGAGAGCTACCCTTCTCCTTGTTCGAGGCTCAAGAGACGGTGGTCCATGCAAATGGGGGTCAGCCAGAGCTCGGGATCTTGCAGGATTCGGCAAGGCCAGGGTCGCACTGACCCAGGCTTGGGTGCAGGAGCCTGCAGGATCCTGCAGAAGTCTTGCAGGATCCTGCACGGCCTGCTGACCCGGGTCTCGATTGAATCGGGTCAGGAGATCCCCATGCGTAATGTCCCGAGCTTGTCCTAACATACGACCTTTGAGCGGAACGACGCGCTATCACCTCGCAAGTGATTGCATGTCGCTGGGGCCGCCGCCGCGACACGCTAATTGAGCAACAGTTCTCGACCAATGAGGTTGGTTCACAGGCAGGTCTGACGCGACTCAGTTGGGGAATGTTGTTTCCCTCGTCCAGTCCATCCGCGTGATCATCCTTTACCCCGTCTTGGCACGGTTTCCTCTAGGCCTCTGCAAAGGCTACAGAGGTTTTTTCTATGCCCTTGTTGAGTCTAGCAGCGCCTCGCGACGCGAAGCGAGGACAGGCAGGACAAAGCAGGACAAGGCTACGAACATTGACGACACGATACAACAGTGCAACACATTGCAACGCCAAGCAAGGCACGTACGCAGCTTGGCACAGCCAGTGTAGGGTAGCGCGTTGCGAAGCTTAGCAACCCACAAGACAGCAGCATTACAAATCGAAGGACAATCAGAGGATAGCGTAATACACCCACAGCGGAGAACAGGTCAACAATACTAAGAGAAACCAGCACTTTACATGTCGCATTAACCTGACACAGCCAACTATCTCAGCAATGCGAAGTCCAGCCAAAGAAGTAAAGCAATAACGCGGACCATAATATCACAGCAAATCAACGCAGCATGACGCAATGCAAAGCTAACATACTGCACGACACAGCGAGTCACCGCAGCAGATGCAAACATATGAATGTGGAGCGGATCGAAGGAGCTGGTGCAAGACAATGCGCAGTGATCCGTCCTTCTTCAAAGGGTCCACTGGGAACAATGGACAGGCAAACTCACACACGGAAGACATCGCAACGCTCGCGCATTGTAAAGCGAGCACGGACGGCGCGTCGCACAGCCGAGCAATGTCATGTCGAGCCGCAGGGCTGAGCACGTCCACACCGAGCTGCGTGTCGAGCAGATCGAGGAGGTGTACAGGAGAGCAGCGGCGTGGAGCCACCTCGTGCGCTTGTGCGCCCTGATGTGCTGGTGCTTCCGGCGTTTGCATGCACGTGGTCGCCGTTGTTCGCCTTCGGCCGCCTGAGATCACACCTCTGTTGGCTCGGCGGCGCCAGCGTCCTCTTTGAGCTCGACGCCCCTTGGGCAGCAGACGGCGGCGAGGGGTGAATCACGTTCGGGAGAGCCCTCCTTCTCCAGACGAGGAGGCAGAGGACGAACAGGGCCGCGAGGTAGGGGACCCGGGGGCAGCAGATGCCAGCAGTCGCACCCCTCCCCCGCTCCCCTCCCCGCGCCCTCTTCCTCGCCGGCGCGGGCGAGGGGCTGCCGGGAGAGGACATCCTGCGACGTGGGGGACGTGCTGCCCGTTCCCGGAGGGGGGGAGGAGCGCCGAGAGGACGTGGCGGAGGGCGCGGGAGGTACGGTCAGGAGCTCCAGGAGGGCGTGCCGCTCCGCTGGTTCTGGCCCACCGCGCTTCGGCGCGACGCGCTCTCCACGCCCCGGCCACCCGGGCACCCGCGCTCCGAGCCTCTTCGGGCCTTCCGCCCCGCGGAGCGCAGCGGCACGCCGTCCGCTCGCGAGGCACAGCGTGTCGCCGGGGCCGCCACCGCGACACGCTGAGCAGCAGTTCCTGGCCGCAGTCGGGGGCCTGGGCAGCTCAAGGAAGGTCTGGGGCCTCTTCTTATTCCCCCTCCTCCTCCTCCCTCCTCCTCCTCCTCCTCCTCCTCCCTCCTCCTCCTCCTCCTCCTCCTCCTCCTCCTTCTCCTCCCTCATCCCTCATCCCTCATCCCTCCTCCTCCTTCCTTCCTTCCTTCTTTCCTTCCTTCCTGACGTAGTAAGGTGTGGGGCGGAGCACGGGCGAGTGCCGGTCCGTTCCGAGGCCACGTCTGCGCTCCTGCTTGTTCCGGTCCCGCAGTCGCGCCCCCCGCAGGGACTCGAGCTCTGGCGGGATGGCTTCCCCCCTGCATGCCCTCGTCTGCGCCAAGGTGAAGACCGAGCTGAAGGACAAAATTGTCACCGAGGACCCAAGCTCTAATCCCACCCATGGGGCAGGTTTCTTGCAGGGAGGAGAAGGGGGAGCTTGAGGAAGAGGGGGGGTGAGAGGAGGATCAGAATATAGGAGGAGGGGGAGGAGGAGGAGGAGGAGGAGGAGGAGGAGGGGAGGAGGAGGAGAAGGAGCAGGAGGGAAGCAGGGGAGGCGGAGGAGGACTCGAGTAAACTCAAGGTGCATCAGCGATGCTGCAATACACCCTCCCGTCCCAGGGCCCCTCGCCATCAGCACTTTCAAGCTCACTGCGCGACTCCCCCCTTACGACATCGCCCATAGGCCCGCAATTCATATGGCAACGCCTTCCATCCGTCGAGCTGTAAGAAACGCAACTAGGTGGGCACATCACATTAACTTTAAGGAAGTATCTGGCGGCAGCCCCGCTTTCATAATGAACCACCCTCCATCCGTGTAGCGCTGGCGAACATGTCATTCTAGAGTTATGCATTTACACATTTCCATCGGGGAGTCCAACTTTGGGGGGGACGGCATCCATTCGTGCAATTGCTGAAACGCTTCTACCGAATGTTCGCGGCGCCTAGGTTCCCGCAAGAGGAGGAGAAGGACGGCATGCTTGGATCTCGTTCTTTGGGGGTTTGGTCTTGATGGTGGCCCCATCGTCCGTTGCCATCCTCCTAATTCTGCATGCAGACTTGCGCGTAGAGGCCAGCAACAGCGTCTTCCTATCCTTGCTTTGTGATTATGCATTCATCTAGTCTCATGCAAGGTTTCTCGCTTCACTCCGGATGCCCACATGTCTTGGGTTTTCTCGAGCTAGGTTTGCAGCGCCTGCCTATCTGGACGTTCGCTTGGGCGAATGGCACTGCGCTGTTCCTACAGGTCATGGGCACTGGGCGTGTGGTGGCGAAAGTGGCAGGGCAGTCCCGTTGCGCCACCCACATGCCCTCCCAAAGGAAGCTATTTTCCATGTCTTGAGTGTCTCTCATCATCTATTCACGTTGCTCTCCAGTCTTTGTTGCGTTCGCTCCGTCCTGTCCGTTGCTGCGCTGCCTCTGCGACCGTCGAGCTTGTCACGGCAACTTTGGTAGAGGTTGCCACGTGCGTGATGTTTCAGTCACCTTTCGCTCCCGTCGCCCACCATGAGAATATTTGCAGAAGATTTGATCATGGGGAGTTGTTGGATGGCTTGTCCCATCTCGCTCGCAAGCTGCGTGCTGGTGGCAGGCTGGCGACTTCGCGATTCATGCGATGCCTGGACGTTCTTGCTTGCCCGCGTGCGGTTGCGGTCGCGCGTGGGCCCACTGACGCCGCGGGCGGACCGCCCCCACGGCCTGGCAGGCAAGAACAGGGAGGACGGCGTGCGGGCCTGGCCCCGCGGGGTGGCCAGGCGCGGGGGCGCGCCCCGGCGAGGCGCGCCCGCGCGCAGAGGCGCGCAAACCAATCTCGACAAGGGATACCTGAAAAGAGGAGGGGGAGGCGGAGGAGGGGGGGCAGTAGCAGGCATGACCATGCCTGAGGGCGCGGCCAGCTCGTCAAACACACAGGCCAGCCTTTTGCAGCGCCAGCCTTCGTGACGCAGTCCTTGCCAGTATTTCTCCACTCGTCTAGCGGATCTCTTTGCCCTCCCGTCTCACCGAGCAGCAGCATCCCAAATAGGGGGGACAAGAGCCACACTGGTGGCCACAGTGACGGGGGGCCCAACCTAGCAACTGATACGGTGAAGGGGCCTCCCCCTGAGGAACCGCACAAGCCATCAGTTGAAGCTTGTTCTTGTACACCCTTCTTCACACGCTTCTGCTTTGTATTTTGCCGCGGGTTTGAATTATTTTAACACTCGTTTGCTCTTACGTTGCCTGTGCTGCATGTTTTGATCTTAAGTGCAACACGCCTGGACCTACAACTATGGGAAGGGGGAGGGTGTACGGGTTGGTTCGTATTGGCATCTGGCGAAGGGTGGGTCACTAAGGTCACACCATACGTAGCATCTGTGTTGCTGCCTGGCGGGCGCACCTTCCAAGGCCATCTACTTGTCTGATATTTCCGCCCGACCTTGTTCGCTGCGCCCGCCGGGTTAGTT